ACCATCCCTTCCACCTTCTCAAGGACAGGCTAGGCCTTGTTCACCCAGGCCCTCAGCCTGTGGTCCAGCCTGGCCCAGAGCGGTGCTTCATAAAACATCCACTGAGCTAGAAGGGCCCACGTGTGGTCACAGTTCCTAATGTCCAGTCTGTCTCCCTGGGCTCTTCTACCTTGGTGAGCCCCCAGCCCCCAGCATGTGCCAGCCCCCTCTGGGGCTTTGAGGGAGCCTGCTCAGTCTGTGGCTTCGGGTTCAGTGCTCCTCTCTCACTTTCTGAATCCCTCTCGTTAGATATCTGCCACTTTCCTATCCTGGTTGTGGCGGGGGAGGATTCCCAGAGGCTTCTCTGTAAATGAATGGTGCCAACACTGGCTTCCCATTGAGTCCTAAATGCTTAATCTGGTGCCCAAGGCTGTGATTGGCCTGTCCCTGCCAGACTCTACTCTCTCTCCCACAAACATTGCTCAGACCACCTGCCCCCTTTCTTCTGCCCCTTACCACAGTAAGTGCCCCTCCCCCAGCACAGCCCTGGTTCAGGTGCCCCTCATTTCCTAAGGGTGCACCCTCCAGATCCCAGTCCACTCTCTGAAAAGGGTTTAATCCAAATATTGGAAAATACAAAACAATGCACATTTGCAAAGTTTTCAACAGTCACCTTCTAGAGGGTCATACAATGGAGTTCCCCAATGTCTGAGACTCACAGGGGAGGGTCCACTGATCTAGAGAAGGGGGGTCAGTCCAAATGCCCATGGGAGCCAGGAGGGAAGGAAATAAGTAAAGGGGATGGAGAGGACCAGGGCCCCTGGAGAGGACCAGCTGCACCTGTCAGGTTGGTGGAATAGATGCCCTGTGCATGACACGAGCTCATGCATATAAAACAGGAAAAAAGATACAGATACTCCCTACAAACACATGTGCATGTATGTACACACATGTCTAAATATGATTTCAGAGCATAAGAAATGTGTTGAAGGCTGTACATGAGGTTGAGGACATGGATGGAGAGGAGGATGATCCTGTTGAACAGGCAGGAAGCCTGGTCATGCCCAAAAGGAGAAACTGGGACATGTGAGATGATCATAGTTCAGCTTTATGTCAATTATACACGAGAATAAGAGAAATATGGAAAACTACACAAAGATATGAATGGAAAACAATATGGAGGACATAGCTGTTGCTCAGCTCCAGCTACCTCCCCCAAGGGAACACAGCCCAGTGACATCAGATCTCCTGAGGCTTTTAAAGGAGCAGGAAATTTGAATTTTCATGTGAAATTAAAACAACGGGCAGGTACCAAACACTTAGAGAAGAAATAATACCTATTCTACATCTCTTCCAGAAAACACTATGAGGGAAAACTAAATGCATTAAGAGACTGCCTCCAATACAAACTGGTTTGCAGCCCCCGATCTGGAGCAAACCAGTCTTGCATGAGCTTATGTCCAGAGTGCAGCAGGGTGGTCTGGAGCCTCTTTGAGAGCGATGGAGGGGAACAGGTAGCTGGCATGACTGAGTGTACCTTGTGCCAGGCCCTCTGATAAGCCCAACATGTACTTTTTATTCATCGATTGACACAGAGTAGGTATTCAGCCCATTGCACAGATGGGGAAACTGTGGGTCTGTTAAGTAACTTGCCAAGTTCCTCTATGACACACAGCCTCCTTGTCACTCTGAGTGTCCATCTCCCTTCCTCCTTCTCTGTCCTTCTGGCACCTCCTCCTTCCTCTGACCCAGTCATGACCTTCCCAGCTCCCTGTCTTCCAGTCCACACGCCTGGCCGCGGGGCAGGCAGGGCTCAGCCACATCCAGGCTGTGCTCTGACGGGGGCACCATGTCCAGGCTCACAGACTAGAGTGGAGGAGGGGCTGCTGGGGAGACTCAGGCAAAGCTGCTGCATTCCAGGTGGGGGAACTGAGGCCCAGAGAGGGTAACAGGCCTTACCCAGTGTCACATGAAGGAACCGAATCCTCTCCTTCTCCAAGTCCTCCCTCTGTGGCATGAGAAGGATCCAAACTTGTCATTTAGCTTTAAGCAGCATGTGTGTGTGTTAGTAGCTCAGCTGTGTCCGACTCTTTGCAACCCACTGGACTGTAGCCTTGTCAGGCTCCTCTGTCCATGGAATTCTCCAGGCAAGAATAATTGAGTGCATTGCCATTTCCTTCTCCAGTAGCATACACAAGGTAAATTCAGAGAGGTTGTGGGAACAAAGTGGAAGATAGATAGCATGACATCCCCAGGTCCCTTAAAGCCAGTGCCCCTCCCCACCCTAGCAGTGCCCACGGGGAGGCCCGCAGGCTCCAGGGCTCCCCTGGCAATTGGGGCTCAAGGAGCCTGGGGAGTCCAGGGCGGTTCTCAGGTTTGCTCTGTTTCTCTTTCCAGCCTCAGCTTGTCCCAGGGTTTGTTATCAGCAAAGGTGACCAGGCCCCCGATGGCAGGAAGCTGGCTGGGGCTCAGGGTGCTGGCCCTTAGCCCTGGGGCCTCTCAGCAAAGAGTCCCTTGGAAACAGGGCAGCTGTCCCAGGAGGGGGCGGGCTGGGAGGGGCCTCGCTCCCCCCACACTGGACCCTGGAGGAGCCCCTGTGTGAGCAGCACTGCAGCCCTGGCTGGCGGGACTGTCTTGGGCAGGTGACCTGGGCAATTCCACAGTCTCTGTGGTCCCTGCTACTCTGGCCATGTGTCCCCGCCCCAGCTCCAAAACCCCTTCAGGCCCCTGTTCTCCTCTCTCAGTTCCAGCCTAGGCCCCTCCTCCATGGGGAAGGTTGGCTCCATGCCTGCATCCCTTCTGGGTCAGAAGACACCTACTGTGCTGCCTCAGGGCCACTGGGACCCTGGAATCCCCCCCAGTCATCTCCACTCTGTGCGCCCCACCCCCACCCCAGTTCCAGATGCATCCTCAGGACTCTCCCCTCCCAGGGGTTCAGCAGGGGGCTCCTCTTTCATCTCCTGCCCTTAAAAGGGGGCTGATCATCCGTCCATCCCCACCCCTTCACTGGGATACCCTGAAAGTCTCCACGTCAGCATCAGACACAGCATACTGGTTCATTTACAAAATCCCTTCTTCCTAGCTTGGAAGCTGCTAACCAGTCTCCCAGGCCAGGAAAATCCTGCTCAGGTAAGACTACTCCTAGATCTTTCCAGACTCATATCTGGATGGCAGCTTTGGAGTTTAAGAGCCAAATATTATGTTAATTTATTCTGTGATTCCTCCGTGATGCTCCACCTTGGAGTCATGCTGGGTTGGGGGTCTCCCTTCCCCAGTGGGGAAGAGTGACATGTGAAGGACAAATTGGGCAAAGCATTCAAATTGTTCCTCCTTCCCATGTCATCTCTTCCCCACAGCCTTGCTCTCACCCCACGCTCCTCCCTGTTCACTCCTAAAGCCTCCCTCCTCCCGGTGGGGCTGTGTCCCCTCAGATGGCAGCTCCTTCTAGCGATGCTGCAGGGAGGAGAGGCCAGGGCAGGTGTGTCTCCAGGTTGCTGTGGAAGGAGGCCTGAAGGAGCTCCCACCCACAGGCCTTGCTGACATGTGGGATGTAGAGCAAAGGGTTCGCGCTTACGGCTTTAGTATGTTTATCTGGAGTTTCCACTTCATGGTCATGCCACCTTAGGGAAGGACTTAATACCTCCAGCCTTTATTTTCTCATCTGTAAAATAGGGTTAGCACTACAATTGCAATCCCTTTTTTTAAATCCTTAGTGTCACATCTGCTCTTGAATTCACACTTCTTCAGCTCCAGATAGATGACATGGTGCATTTACTCTGTAGGACATAACATTCAACTGTAGTCTGAAAGTACCTTGTAATGAAACACATTAGTGCTTCTGCAACTGATATTTTGAACATTCACACTAAGTGAAAAAAAAAAAGAGATCATATATTGTCTCATGTCTCTTCATGTCAAATTTTGTTACCAAACAATTTTTTAAAAATTTGTTTTCAATTTTGAGAGCTTTGAAGGGTTGGGATTGCAGATAATGACCATCCTACCCTGTGTCTCCATAGATAATGGCATACAGCTATTTAGAGAGACCCAAAATGTTTGTGGTTTGAGGCTAGACCACACGTAGCTGTGAGGTTTGGGATAAGACAAGTCTCCTGACAAGGCCAAGGGTGATGGGTGGGGAGAACCATTCTGGAGCAGCTGTGCTGTTACCCGATTGTCTGAGCCACTGGTTCCAACTCCACGGATCCTGAGCCTCAGCGGTCACAGGGCCCTGTGTCATTTCCAGGCGTCTGACTTAACCCACCTTCGGGAGCCAGATCATTCTCTGGTGGATCCTCAGCAAAGACCACTGCTGTACTGGTGACAGTGACCTGCCTGGACATCGAAACATCATGCCCACTCGGGCATCATCCCCAGACTATGATGACTTTTGGGTAGGGTTCTGGTACTTCCGCTTGCCAGAGCTCTTCTCTACCTGTGTGGCTTTCTCTCTGGTGGCTGACATGGGCTTTGGGAGAGGGGACATAGGTAATTGGTCCATGTCCATCTGGTGCTTCTGTTTCACCGTGACCCTCATCATAGTCATGGTCGAGTTATGGAGGCTCCCATCCCGCTTCCCTTTCTACTGGTACAACTTCCCCGTCACCTACGCCTGCTACGCTGCCCTCATCTGCCTCTCGACCTCCATCATCTACTCCATCACCTACGTCCAATTCCTGCTTTATGGTCCTTCCCGGGACCGGGCCATCACTGCCACTGCATTCTCCTGCATCGCATCTGTGGTTTATGCCCTGGATGTGGCCTGGGTATGGGATTGGTATGATCTCGATGATATCTCCTGCTATGTGCACACTGTGCCAGGCCTGCTGAAGGTGCTGGAGACCTTCTTGGCCGGTGTCATCTTTGCCTTCCTCAGCAACACCTCCCTGTACCTGCACCAGCCGGCCCTGGAGTGGTGTGTGGCCGTGTACTCCATCTGCTTCATCCTGGCAGCTGTTGTCCTCCTGCTAAACCTGGGTGAACGGGAATACAGACTGCCGGTCCCCTTCCCCATTTTCCAGCTTGTGCTCACCACGCTCTCCGTCCTCCTTTATATCAGTGCTCTGGTCCTCTGGCCACTCTACCAGTTTTATGAGGAGTTCGGCGGGCAGCCCCAGAGGTCCAGTGATGGGGACTGCAGGGATGAGCTCACCTACAACATGTGCACCTGGGACCAGCGACTGGCTGTGGCCATCCTGACAGCCATCAACCTGCTGGCTTACGTGGCCGACCTGGTGTACTGGGCCCGCCAGGTCTCTGTAGGGACTGAGGACCAGCCCAGGGACTCCTGATCCTCTGCTCACAAAAGGTACTCTCATCGAGCTCTGACGTCTTCTGATGTCCTCTTCCTGGCTCCTCTCTCTCTCTCCTCATATCCTTCCCCATTTCTCCCTTCCCAAAGCACTCAGTGCTCAGGTGCCCAGGGGAAGGGTAGGGTGCTGGGAACACCATGGATGGGGTCTGAGATGTAAAGGGAGCAGGAGGGAGAAGTGGGGTTGCAGCGGCCCTTGGGGGCACCAAATATCTGGTAATTGCGGCCCCTTCTCTCATCAAGACCAGCTGAATGCTTGCTCCCTAAAGATTTTCATAAATCTGCCCCTGCCCTTCACTCCTGCAGTGTCTTTGCTCAAGGCCCATCATCACATACCACCTTGACTACAGAATTATCCTCCATCCATTTTCCTCCTATAGTCAGAGTGTCAGTTTCAGAGTGAGCCTCCGACTGATCAGTCCCTCCTTAGAGAATGTCAGTGAGGCCTCCACACTTATAGCTAAAATCCAACCTATGTCTCTGGTGTTCAGATCCATCCACAGTGGGCCCTGTCTGCTGTCCTTGCAGCACCTCCCTTCCTCCCCATCTCACCTGTTTTGCCCAGGTAAGACCCAGGAGCTTGTGATGACCTGCTCACACCAGGCTGCTTCACAGAAGGGCAAAGGCTGAGAAGTGTCAGTCTGGGAGCAATGAGACAAGGAGCTGGTGGGATCCAGGCAGGCTTCTGGGAGGAGATGACTAAGAGTCAAGTCTTTAAGGAGAAGTTTAGGTTCACAGGAAAGAAGAAAGAAAGGATATTTAGAATAATTGATTTGCCCAGGGATCTCATGAAGTTTCAGTGGCAGAGCTGATGTGACTGCAGGATCCTTATGTATAGCAGCGAGGAAGGAGGAGGGGGAAGGGAGAATTGAGCCTGGCCAACTGGAGGCTGGTCTATTTGCCCACTTGGGTCAGGAATGAGGCTTCAGGGTGGCACAAGGTGAGGAGCTGGAGTTGAGACACTCCCCTAAAGCCAGGACTATGGGGCCTGCAGCCTCAGAGCAAGGGTAGGCAAGGGAAACTATGCCCTTCAGAGAAATATCATATGACATGCCTTATATGTGAAATCTAAAAACAAATGATACAAATGAACTTACAAAACAGAAAGAAAGAGACTCACAGACTTAGAGAATGAATTTATGGTTGCCTGTACACCCTGTTACATTTAAACTGGATAACCAAGAAGGACCTACTGTATAGCACATGGAACCCTGCTCAATGCTATGTGGAACCTGGATGGGAGGGGAGTTTGGGGGAGAGTGGATACGTGTATATGTATGGCTGAGTCCCTTTGGTGTGCACCTGAACCTATCACAGCATTGTTAGTCAGCTATACCCCGATGCAAAATAAAAAAGTTTAAAAACAAACAAACAAAAACAAAACCATGCCCCTCAGAAAGACAAAAGGACAAAGTTGATATCTGCTTCCAAAGGAATTTGGGATTTCTTTTAAGTCTCCACAGGAGAAATAGAATTCTCAGGTCTTCACTTCTGGTATATTTAGACCAAAATGTACCTGATCCCTGAGATCCAACAACTCCAACCTGAGAAATTTATGCAAGTGGGGACCAACAGGCAATTGGCCTGAAGGGTCCTGAGCAGGAGCAGGTGCTGTTATTCTGGCTGAAGCTCCCAACCCAGGCAGAGGACCCTCCCAGGAAAAGGGCTCCTGTACAAGGGGCTCACAGTGTAATGACAAAGTACATGAGGGAAAAATCAACTGAGTCCCAAGAACTCCAATGAACACTCACCAATCTGAAAGAGACAGCAAACAGGTACACGTATGATTAAACACATTAGAGAAAGACACCATGAAAAAAGGACAGTAAGATATGAGAGAGAACTTTAATGAGTTGAAGAATGACCCCCACCCCCCCAAAAAAAATCCATGTTTATGGCATTATTTAGAAGTAGGGTCTCTGTAGACATAATTATTTAAGGATCTTGAGATGAAAGTCGTCCAGGATGGAGGGTGGGCTGGCAATCCAGTGACTGGTGACCCTACAAGGGAAAGGACAGAGAAGTTCGCACACAATGAGTTGAGAGAAGATGACAACATGGAGGCTGTGGCAGAGATGGAATAAGTGGCCACAAGCTGAGGGGTTTGAAATATTACTAGTGGATATGAATGAGCTTCACCCAGAGCGCTGGAGACAGCATGGTCCCCCTGACACCTTGATTTCAGACTTCTGGCCTCCAGAACTGTGGGAGAATAAATTCCTACTGTGTTAAGCAATCAAATTTTGAGTAAATTGTTCCAGTAGCGCTAGGAAACTAAGATGAGTTTCCAGAAATGAAGAAGAGAGTCTTTTTCATATTTCTTAAGTTTACAGAGAAACCAGCCTTCTGCCGTAGAACATGGTGGTCACATGGATCCCAGACTTCTTGTCATATCCTGTGTCCCCCATGATTGAGACTCAGAGGGGAGTATTTAGAGACAGGTGGTCAGTCCAAATGCTCACAGGAGCCAGGAGGGAAGGAAGTAAGTAAAGGTGGTGGAGAGGACTAAGGCCCCTAGAGAGGACCAGCTGTACTTGTCAGGGGTGTTGGAAAAGCGAGATGCCCTGTGCATGACAGGGTCTCAGGTTTATAAAACAGGAAAACAATCTACTGATGTGCCCTACATATATGTACATATATGTCTACATATGATGTCAGACCATGTGAAGTGTGCTGAAGCCTGTACATGAGGTTGAGGACACAGATGCTCCCCAGAAGGAGGGGTGGATGCTCATGTGAGCAGACAGGAAGCCTGGCCACGCTCAAGAGGGGAAACTGGGCACATGTGAGATGATCATAGTCATGCTTTATGCCAATTATATATGAGAAGAAGAAAATATAGAATATGCTAAACAGAGATGAGAATGGAAAACAATATAAAGTAAAGGGCATAGCAACTGATTCATGAGACTTCTAAAAGGAGCTAGAAATCTGGATTTTCATGAGAGATGAAAACACGGTGCATCTACCAAATAGTTCAGGAAGAAATAAAACTGATTCTACACCATTTCTTCCTGAAAACACTCAGAAGGAAAAACAAACACATCCCTGGGCCACCTCCAAGACACACAGGTTTGCTTGATCTACAGCAAATCAAGCTTGCATGTGTTTGTGTCCAGAGAGGGGGCAGGGTCTTCTCAGTCCTCTTAGAATGAGAGGGAGAGGGGAACCGGAAGCTGGCATGGATTGAGTGTGCCGTGTGCCAGGCCCTCTGATAGGCCCTTCACAATCTTTCATCCACTTAATTGACATATTCCCTGGTCGCTCGATGGTAAAGAATTTGCCTGCAGTGCAGGAGGTGGAAGAGATGTGGGTTTAAAATGTGGGTCAGGAAGATTTGCTGGAAAAAGAAAAGGCAAACCACTCTAGAAATTCTTGCTTGGAAAATCCCATGGACAGAGTAGCCTGGGAGGCTCCGGTTCAAGGGATTGTAAAGAGTTGAACATGACAGTATGCATGCACAGGTATTAACCCCACTGCAGACATGAAAAAACTGAGGCTCAGTGGGTAACTCGCCAGGTCGCCCCATGCCCCACATCCTCCCTGAAATTGTTTCTTACCATCCATCTCACCTCCTCCTTCATTCCTCTATCCTGGTTGTGAATTTCCCGGCTTACTCTCTTCCAGGTCACACGCCTGGCTGCTGGGCAGGGGGGGCTCAGCCACATCCAGGCTGTGCTCTGACGGGGGCACCATGTCCAGGCTCACAGATTAGAGTGGAGGAGAGGTTGCTGGGAAACTCAGGCAAACCTGCTGCTTTCCAGGTGGGGGAACTGAGGCCCAGAGAGGGCACATGCCTGGCCCAGGTCACACAGCAGGAACCCCTATGCCTCTCCTTCCTAAATCCTCCCTCTGTGCCATTAAATGGATTCAAAGACTCTACATGAGCACACAGATACAAAATCCTTGTTCCTTTTCAGCCTCTTCTTCCCAGCTTGGAAACTTTCATCCAGTCTCCCAGGTCACAGAAATCCTCGTTCACATAGGATTACTCCTAGATCTTTCCAGACTCCCACCTGGATGGCAGTTTTGGAGCTTGAGCCAAACATTATGTTATTTATTCTGTGGTTCCTCCAGGACACTCCACCTTGAGTCACGCTGGGTTGGTGTCCCCTGTCCCAGTGAGGAAGAGTCACATGTTGAGGGGAGGGGATTCAGAACAGTCCCTACTTCCCATGTCATCCTGTCCCCATGGCCTTGCTCTCACCCATGCCTCCTCCCTGCTCACCCGTGAAGCTGCCCTCCTCCGGGTGGGGCTGTGTCCCCTCAAATGGCAGCTCCTTCTAGTGATGCTGCGGGGAGGAGAGGCTGGAACACATGTGTCTTCAGGTTGCTGCAGAAGGAGGCCGTGGCTGTGAAGGCACGTCCTGGATCCCACAGCCCCAAGCTTTGGTCTTGGTCTCCCACCCACAGGCCCTACTGACATGCTGGGCTGTAGATGAAAGTGTTCAAATCCATGGCTTTCGCATTTTTATATGAGGTTACTACTCCTAACCTTTTGACCTTAGAGAAGGCCCTTGATTCACCAAGCCTTAGTTTTTTCATCTCTAGAATGGGATTAGCAGGGGTGGCGGCTCAGCTGGTAAAGAACTCGCCTGCAATGTGGGAGACCTGGGTTTGATCCCTGGCTTGGGAAGATCCCCTGGAGAAAGGAATGATAACCCAATCCAGTATTCTGGCCTGAAGAATTTTCTGGGTCTCAGAGTCAGACCTGGCTGAGTGGCTTTCACTTTAGTTTTCTCATCTCTAAAACGGGATTAGCAGTACATCTACAGTCCATTTTATGAAATCCATGGAGTTAGATATGCTCGAGAATTCAGGATTTTTTCAACTCCAGTTGCATATAGTGCGTCTACTCTATAGGACATCCCACCCCACCCCACCCCACTGGGGTTTGAAAGCACTTGTAATCAAACACATTAGTGTTTCTGAAACTGAACTTTTAAA